TGCTAGAGAATTGTGTTTATATTCACTAACCCCAAGTGTCTATACGACAACTGTTTCATCAACGACACTCCTGTGGTCAACTCGTTTCCTTGGAAGCGATTCCCATCCTTTGTATGTGGGAAATTCTTAACCTCAACTCCCATAACATATTGTACACGATTTCCTATGATGTACATACGTAAGAAAGAATGTATTTGTAAGTCTGAACTAGGACCCACGAATTCATTCCAATAGAATACAAGAAAACATACAAAGGTTTCAACGATATACACAATGACACTCAAACAATGAGTTCAATTCCCGGGCCCTGTTTGATACTTGTCGAGGAATTCATTGTAGAAACATTCAGATATCACAATAATTAACTTTTCCAGAGAAATGCTCAAAGTGGTATTATCGTAATTTTCCAAGCAGAAGAAACTTCATTTTTTAAGTTAGAGGCGCAGACAAAAAAGGCTTTTGTGTGAATTCTATTATTTCGAGGGCACGGAAGTGGTGAAAGCTTCACTTTTTTTTCAAGGTAGCAGAAACTGGAGAAGATATTTCAGTCGGACCTGTTGTTTTTGAGGGAGAAGTATTGAGATTTACGCATGTGCATAAAGATCGCAGTTCAAGAAGTTCCATACAATCTCCTTTGTTGCCATACCTATCGAGGCGTTCGAATTTATCGCCTGCCAACTCAAGTTTACCGCGCTCGTCCGCACGAATCGGTATCTTAACGGAATTATTAAATGGGTTAGACATAATAATACATAATAATACGGAGGCACGTCAAAAAGAAACCTGTAGCGTTACCTTGAACTTGCCGTAGGCCGGTAAAGCTACAATAAATGTAATTTCGTAGAAATGCGAGCCTGATAACGTGATGTTTTGAAGCATAAATTCTTTAACCATTACTACCTGAAATGAGATATGAAAGTCTGATTCAGAATGATAAGCTGGCCAACAGAAACAGTATGACATCATCTTTGCCTCTATCGCCTTTAAGTAGGACTCCACGATATGGACAGAGGTGGAGGAAGGGGAAACATACCTAGTGGGAAGAAAGGCGGATCACCCAAAGATACAGAGCGGCACGCAAATCGTATCAAAGGACGACATGCTATAATCCTGGTAATCTGGCCTGGCCCTCCTCTCGGCGCAAGTGGCCCGGTACGTCCTCCCCTCTCGCGTTGTCTCATGTCTGAGCCTCTTGCCGTTCAGCGGAGATAGCACCAGCGTTGAAGAGGGGCACCGAGGAGTCGCATCAATGCGCAAGTTGACGGCAAAGAAGAGGTTTACTTTCACTGGTTCCAGGCCATTTCCTCGGTTTTTTCATGTCTGTATTACCGACCATCTGACTTAATTTTTAGTGGGCTGCCTTTTCATCTTTGAATTCGCAAGATCCACACTTCTTGTTAGCCGTCTCCACCTAGTCCTTCCTGTCCAGGGCATTTCATGGCCCCCATGGCTTAGTGAGGTCCTTTCCTATGGCGTCTCTTCCTCTTCTTTGGGGCCTCTCGTTCAGGGTTTTTGGGTCATTAGCCCTAACGTTCCGTCAGAAAGGGTAGGAAGAAGAGGAGTTTGACGGTATAGATGGATGGATTCTCAAACTTCGAGCCACGTTCAGGCCTTTGAAGAGTCGTTTTTCGACCCGATCGTGCTCTATCGGTTTATAAGGGTTTTCTGCATCAAGGGACCGTTCCTCTGATTTTGTGCAATGTGTTATCAGTCAAAGCATGGAGTTTTTTGGTGTGATGGTGGCTATCGTGCTGGATAGTGTAGACCCACTGGCTCGTCCATTGTCGAAATTCAACGGGCAGATGAATGGGTCTCATTTTGCGTTTTGTCGATATATCTCAACTTTCTTGCCACTGGCCTTCTACTTAACATCCCCACTTTCCCTGCGACCGCGTGTAGAACCCATCCTAATTGTTGTCTTCAAGCTGAGAAGATTAGCTGAAGATTGAATGATAGCGTTTCCCACCTTGTGCATAGTAATTTTTTCACATTGTGAAGAAACATTGTTCGATTCTAAAATGGATGCCATTTCCTTCGCAGCAAAATTACCGAGAGCTGTCACCTTCATCCGATCACTGAAATTGAGTGAGAGATTGAAATTCTGGGCAACTTTCGCGTCTTTGAATTCCCCCACTTCAAAGTCACATCACTAAGCGGATTTGAATTGTATAACCGCTACATTCCATTCGAGTTACATCTTGAATTAAGGCTGTTCCGGAATAAGGCTTAAAGGCAAAAGTCGGGCTCAATAAGGGGGTATTATGGCGATTGAAACTGAGTATAGAGATGCGAAGTGGAACGACAGTGGAGAAAAAACTGAGAAAAACCGTCGACAAGGCCGTTAACAAAACCCTCTTTCCCACTAGCAGTGAAGGAGGCTGGCTTGGGGAAAGAGGCACGTACAAACAAGTTTTCTGGAGATGTCAGTCGTTCTATCGGTTGATACGGCAATCAACCTAGCTGAATTTCACACGTTATGCCAGCCACGCACCACTTCCGGAGGTGGGCGGTCCTGGATTGACCAGGCGGCCCTGGATTGAAACCGAACGCCCCGGGGCCTTAACGGGGTTTTTCAAGGTGGGAAGTTGCTGCAATGTGTGCAGCTACCCACATACAACCTCCAGGCACGGGAATTACTTCTCTAGCGTGCCTGAGCCCGACCTTTGCCTTTAAAGGACGAATTCACGATCAGAGGGAAAATCGAATTAGGAAGAATTCACCTGGTTGAGGGACCCGCGGAGCTCCTAAGTGTGCGAACTGAAGCACAATTTGCACAGGAGGAGTTGACCTCGTTGACCTATTAAGGTTTAATCCCGCCGCGGCTGGTCAGTGCACGCCCACCGATCATCTGTGTGAATCAACTCGCCGCAGATCCATACGTGGTGAGTGATTAGATAGGTGAGAGAGCGTGCGTAGCGTTGAAGAGGGCACAGCGATGATAGTCGCATCAATGCTCAAATCAACGGGCAAGGAAGGGGTCCCATTTCTCGGGTTCTGGGCCGTTTCTCATGGTTTTTCCTTCTTTAGTGTACCACTCACCATCGCTAACTTAATTTGAAATGGGTTGCCTTTCCAGCGTGAATTCGTCCTTTAAGAAGCGAACAAGGCCCCGATTATGGCTCGGGGTTCCCAGCGATGTGGGTGGCTTCCGCATTATAACCCAATTCTAAAAAAAAGCTTTTCCAAAGTAATTGAATCCCCCGAATTAATCTCCAGGTAGACTCGATCCATTTCGAGACCCGCTTTCTGGGAAAGCACGCGCATAGGAGAGTAAGACTCTTAAAAAGCCGCGATAAGTTTCCCCAGCCGAATTCCGTGATTTGAGCGATGTTTTTATGTTCCCATTTACATCAGGTAGCGGCTAATATTTCCATATAATGATGGAGGGGAAGGGGTTTTTGGTGAAGTATTTTCGAAGTGAAAAACCTCGCAAGTGGAGTGGACTGCGTGCCAGACAGCGAGTAGGCTTTCATTACAAACTTTCCGAGAAAAATACTGCACAAATTCCCATTATGTTGAAAGATTTTGAGATTCACCCGTCTCCAAAGTCAAATCATTTTTTAATAGAGGCGCACCTAAAGTTGCAAGTTCAGATGAGGCTAGCCAGTCTGGAAAAATTGTTTGAAAATAGCTCAATCCGCATGAAGTGAAGAAATTTCGCACATTCAGTGAGTGAACTTTGGTGAACGCTCTGATGCGTGTAGGTAATTTACCGTGCAGTATTCAATAATGAATGTTATGTGGAGCATACGTGATTGTTTTCTTCTCGTATTGACACATGCAGAACTGGAATGGTATCGGTAGTGTTTTACATGTCCTCTTTACTCCACGCTCAAATTCACGAAGCAGCGACGATCCGCGAGGGTTGCTGTCGAACCGCTTGAACTCCAAATCCGTGAACATCGATTTTGGTTGAAACTGAGAGAATCAAAAACTGGTTTATTTAATCTCCTCGGAATATAAAATGACCTTCATCGAAATAATATCAGATAATACCTAATGCTGTTAGCATAGCTCAGGAGGTAGAAGTACATAAGCTGTAGAATGATTCAATTTGAATATTATGCAGTGTTGTAATAGCTCATCCGACTCCAAAGCAAATTGAAGTACTGTGAAAGTTTAAAATGTTGCGCGAGCACTAGTAAAAGGTTTCAGAAGCTCCGAACCTAACGGGTAATTCTGTTTTGCCTCAGTGTAGGTCACTGTACCCAAAAAATTAAAGTTATTATTGTACACTGGGGCGTAAAATTTCACTCGTGTGCAATCACGTTGACTTGAGAGTGCACATTGTATAGAAATATAAAGGTCGAAAAGCTCTTCTGACATTGCGCCCACAGTTGGGAGATAGGCGGATCTCCTGAGCGTGCTGACAGACGCTCAATTGGCAGCGAAAGATTCGGCGATCTAGCATGGCTCACTCTTGGCGCGGTTGGCGGGGTACGCCCACCGACTATCTAATCACTCGCCGCAGGTCTATACGTGGCGAGTGATTAGATAGCAGAGAGAGCGTAGTGTTGAAGAGGGCACAGCGATGAGAGTCGCATCAATGCGCAAATCAACGGGCAAGGAAGGGGTCCCATTTCTCGGGTTTCGGGCCGTTTCAAATGGTTTCTTCTTCATCCCTGCTCCACTGACCACCTCTACCCTTATTTCCAATGGCTATCTTTTCATTTCTTTTCTTTCTAATTAGCCTTTAATCTATCGACACCATGGCGACGGTCATCGTCAATTTGCATGCGTTTTTCAGCTGAACGTAAGGCACTGGACCACAGGCACAGAAGACATCCCCTACGGTTCCCTTGTCACTACTCGCTGTGCGTGCCTTACAGTCTTGTCAAATGGGTCGCAAATGCTGTAAGTAATTGGCGTGGATTCAACTGCTGCATACGAGCGGATCACACACCACGACTCCCATCCTTCCAAAGTTCTGGGATCTCTTCTTCGAACAAAGTCATTCCTTTGTATTTCACGTGCCAGTATTGGAATGAATCAAAAAAAAATTGGTAAGGCAAGAACTAAGCAAAGCAGGAAGACATGTGCGAAGGTATTTTTTAAACTGAGCGAGTTTTTTCAACCATTGAACATAAAAAAGTCAAAGCAAGTGGTTTTTCAAATTGAAACTGTGTGTTGCTATGTGTTTCTGTTTTTACTTGCGACACTTTTCCACTCTTGGGCTTTTCCATCTTGAGGGTCATGTCCAGATTTCCACGTTCCTTATTCGTCGTCAATAGGGAAGAATCATCGAATTTGATTC